TACTGCATCTCAGCTGCAACTAGCTAGGCGCTTCGAATCTGGTTCTCAACGAGCAGCATTCTCTCTCCCAAGTGGACGTAATGTAGTGTAGTGTGAAGCTTTCACTTGTTCCATTCACTGTAATGTGAGAGAGTACAGCCGAAGGATCCGTGTGTGAATTGGCAAGGTTTTTTTTTGGGAGCTTTTTGATGGAGTCTGGCGGTAGCAGACCCTCTATTGACTTTTGTGATACTACAGACTATATGACACTCGTAGCAAGAAAATCACATACTGGTTCCCAAACAGATAAGCGCCGGTCTGACAAAGTTTACACTGTATTGCACAGTTTTCTTGAGCGATTTTTACAAAAGAATAAAAAATTAATGACATTTTTGCACTACAGTTCTAGACCCATATCTCTCAAAAATAAATAGAATCCGAACATGGAAAAGATACTGATTGTACTATAGATCTATTGTTCTGCAAAACACCACAGGAAGACCATTTTGAGCTGCTCACCTCGGCCAATCACAACGCGAGCAGATCAAGCGCCGCAGCTGTGATTGGTCGGCTCCTCCTGTGATTGGCCAGGCTCCTAGTGGGGCGGGGCAAATGCAGCAACCATAACCGCTGTGCGCGGATGCAATTAAGGCGGTTTATTTTTCATGCCATTATTAGACCTCATCACGATGTAAGGTATCGGAGACATACATAAGGCTCTGAATATACTTCAAGCGATCCGATCGCCAAGCGATTTTCGCTTTTTTCCAGATTACCTACGCCTATTGCAAATGTATACAATGTCTAAGTTTTTGCAACTTGTAAAAGCGCCACATTTTGCCAATCCAAAATTCGCCTACGATAAATTATAAGAAATTGGATAAGTGCCAACTGCGCCGTGACTGGAATCGTGTGAGGATGCGCAGTGCCTAATTTTCCTCTGAGTATGCTGTATAACTTGTCCACATTTCGCTACTCTGCACGCAGTGACGCGAAGATTCCCTGCAAGCGGTGCAAAAGGGCCAACGTCTTTATCGCTGCCTTGGAATGGCGTCATTGCCAGTATTGTCTTTCCTTGAAGACATCCTTTTCAAAGAAAGGAGATTTGATTTCAATTTACTGAAGGGTGAAAAACCAGCGGATTGAGAATACCGTAGATTTTTAAAGTAGAAATCGTCCAAAAATCTGTGAGGGACCATGCATATGCAAAAAAGTTGCACGAGAAATGTGCATGGTTACCAAAAGTGCTTCTTTGCCCAACCTCACAAATTTCTCGCTAAAAAAAAGGACTTGCAGTAAAGGAGCGACACGCGAGCGAGCAATGAATAGTCCACATTCTATTTTTGGATGCATTTTGAGCTACGTCGTTTTACGGATGTCATTAGAGCCGCGTACGAGGACTCAGAAATATGATAGCAGAAAAGCCATTGACATCGCTTAATCATTGGCAAGCTCTCAGGGTTTTGACTTTATTTGAATGAAGTCTCATTGAGAAAGTGAAGGAGGGGATGGGGGAAGAACACACTTGTGTTTGCGTCATCAGTTTTCAAAGGGGGGAAGGAGCGGGTAGAAAATAACTATTTTATTACCTCGATAGTATCGATGGCTGAGTTAACAACCGCGATAAATGCCCAAAAAGTTTATTAGTCGTCAAACAATGAGAATAGATAAAAGATGATTATTTAGTCATTTTCTGAAATATAAATGAGATGATAGCTGACCAATTTCACGTATAAAATAATTTAACAAGGCTAAAAAACTATAGCGATATATGCAATACATCGTCACAATTTTGTTAATAGTAAAATTTCATTTTCTGATTATTTCAAATTACCATATTATCCTCCTCTCGCGTTACATGATTGAGCTGAACGCGGCATTTTATGATATGTTGGACCAATTGCTTTAATTTTCAAAAACAGTATTCCGTATCAGAAATAAAATAAAGAGCGGTAAATCAAATGCTAGTTTGCATTTTTTATGAGACTATTTTTTGCAAAATCCCATGCCCAAAAAAGCTAAAAGAAGCCCCATCAGTTGGAACCTTGACTGTCCTGTGTGAAGGTCAAAAAATCATGATCATACAGCGCACTTGAATTCACTATAGCGTTCGTAAACACAAGAAAAATAGGTGAGAAATGACGAAAAATGAATAAGGAATAAAATACAATGCGATGAAAACATATTGAACGAGATCGCCATTTGAACGCGTAAGTGGCGAGGAAAACTGGGTGGACTTGATGCTATTGGGATCAAATTACCTGTGGCATTCGTCATACATCTGGCCCGTCAACGGTTAAATGGCTGGCGTTTGATTCATGACAGATAGTTCGAAGACAAATTGGTGTACAGATGAATTCCAGAAGACTCATCAAAAAACCAATGAGGGGATATTCGATTGAAGTAGGCGCAAAAAAAGTATGGAAGGGAGTTTAAATTATGTTATCGTTTGTATTAGGTTGGCGGATAGAATCTCTCATAGTTTTGCAATTTGGGAGCACTTTCACAAGACGTTTTTCAAAATATAAACATTTTTGACTTCCCTTATCGATTTCCATACGATGCACATAAAAGAGTGTGAAAAATATTTGATTTGTCGAATTTTTTTCACTTCTCGTTTTCAAAACGGTCATCAGCCACAATACGAGAAATGATGCTGAAATACATTGCAAAATAACATAGAAGAGAAAAATGGCAAGAAAAAGTAGAGAAAAGACTTGAAGTAGAAAAAAATTTCCTCGGTATTTTTAAAAGCCTCGTAATCTTGCTGATTGTGTGCATTTGCGGCACGATCATGCTGATAGGTAGATCTGTTATCCCTTATTTATGAACCAAGTCTAAAGTAAGGAAGCTTTCGGAATTTTTCAGAATCAAAAAGAAAAGTTTAATAGAAATTATCTGTAGATACAATACAAAGAAATTTGGAGTTATGTTAAAAAAAACAAATATTGATGTACAAAGTGTGTCGTGAGTATTTTAAGACAAAATAGTGCTAAATAAAGCGTTTATTATTTTTAGCAAAAGGAAGAACCTCAAATTCTGAGAAATAAACAAAATTCCAAGGTATTTGAGAGTAAATAATGCGCTAATTATAGCGTTTCTCGCCCAGACCGTAATCTTTCCGAGCGCCGAGCTGAAGTACAGCAAGGTGAGAAATTAAGAATTACTCAATCACAAAAATCATACTAGCTGCCGTTTCGACAATGCCTTTATTGAAGTGAAGATGCCCAATTATTAGAAAAATATCGAATTTTAGGAAGAAGTTTTGCAGACTAGAAGGAAGACTTGAAAACAACTATGTTGTTTGCAGCATGTAATATCGTGCAAATCACATCTCCAGCGAAATGGAAAATGTGAATTAATATGTCATACAAGCGTCAAAGGCAAAAAACAAGGCATTTTTTATCACGCACATTCTGACGCCACCCACGACGCACAAAGTTCGTTCACACTTGGCCTAGAATGCACAGTGTCGTGAACTAGTTTTCCAACACTCTGTCGCAATTCCGGAGCTAATTACCATTTTCGGACAGCTATTAGCATATTCACAGTGCATGGAGTACAAGTACGGTCCCAGAGGCCGATGTGTAATGATGCATGTGTGGCCTTCAGAGAGAATAGAATTTCAAACCCATTTCAAAATCTCCCATTCTCTGACGCATAGTCACAAGCTCTACTTTCATGACATTTCCGGACGGGAAAAATGCGGTCGCAGCCCTATTTTCTTAGAAAACGTTGACCTTTTCAGGGAACACGACATATGGGACATGGAATTTGCAGAGAGCGAACGAGGGGGGGGGGAAGGAGAAAATAAGTTGAAATCTTACAAGGTATATGCTGGAACTCAAAGTTTATGCCAAAAATATAGCCTTCAGATTATCCTTAGCCTACAGCTTTCGATTAATGTCTGAGAGGCTGGAAAAAGCAAATATTGTCAGCTACTCGTCATTCCCTAGTAAAAACCTTTCGTCTTACGTAATTATCAGAGCGGGGGTTTGATGAGGGTGACGACTTTACCAAACATTTTTTCACACTTGTATCTGAAACATATTTCCTACTTTAGAATCCCACCCATCAGTGTCGCAATTGTGGGAATCATTTTTATTAAACATTGTTTACCTGGACATCCTCAACGAATGTTGAAAGATAAGTATAATAGTAAAGGCAGCCAAGCAAAGTATTCTAGAAACAAAACCTCCAAGTTCCACACCTGAGCGAAACATTCAGATGTTTTTAACTTTTTAATGTAGTCAAAAGGGCATAGATAATAAGTTTATTCGATTCAGAATCAAATGATATTGTACGTAGCTTTTAGAGAAGATTGTATAAGGTACTTATCAAAGGAAGGTAATAAAATCTAGCTTATCACCTCCCCCAACCAAAACTTATATTTTCTGTGCATAGCATTTTATTGTGGAGATCTGCTTTCAAGATATGATAATCTTCTCGGCAAATAAAATTTTTTTTGTAATTAGTTGAGACAATTTAAAAACTTCAATCAGCATAAATCTACTATTATTTATGAGATACCATATCTAGAGTTTTTTAGAGGAGCATTCGGAGAAGATGAATACGAGGAAGATTTTGCTTTGAAAAGCGTGCATAGGAGGTTATTTTGTTAGGCTGGCAATTAGTAACGTTTTAAACAAAATCGGGAAACTTTTGAAAATCTATTACTCGCTAGAATTTTTCGTAAACATGCTAATCTATACTATTACTTATTTCCATATAAGGCTAGCTTTCTAAGTACTATTTTGACTTCTTATCTCACTTTCCTGCATTAATTCATAGTTAAAAAAATCAATTTCTGCTCATGCAGGGTCAAACCTCCGATTGGTTTTTATAATATTCTTTCAAAGACACCAAATCAAATAGAATTTGAATATGACGTTTTCGGAGAACATGGAAATGATCAATTATTTTCCAGCCAGCAGTAGTAAATGCTCTCGAAAGACTCCATCCAACCACAAAATTTGCGGGAAGGAAATAATATTATAATTAATCAAATAAGATATACTTACTTTTGCTGTATTTTCGGCCTTTCCATTGACATTCTGGCTCCACCGACTTTCCATGTGCCGAAAGCTACCGAGCGATACTGGCGTCGCGCGGAGTAGCGATTATCCGTAGCCATCATGCGGATCACAAACGATTACTATGGTAGATTTCTCTTTCTAAAAAAGGGAAACATTACCAAAACTACACATCAAAAGAGGGAGGAAATCATAACGAATCAGCGAAATTGAGCAAAAATGCCGTGTGTGCGATGTTTTAAGCAAGAAAGTTTACATAGAGCGTTGAAGAGTGTCACTCAAACGTTGTGTACTTCAGATTACAAAAATACAAATGCAAAAGATGATCTGACAGAAGAAATGAGTGCACAGATGACTGGAGCAGGGAAAGCAGTAATAAGATGTACTGTGGTTATCACACCTTCCCGAATGCCTTGTGCCTCGGGGCTAATTACAGCACCCGAAAAACGTACCCTGCAGAGTCACTTTTGCACGGGAACTTATGTGAAACTACACTGCTCCTCGTGTAACATTATCTCGCTTTTACAAAGTGCTAGAGTACTAGGGGGTTAATAGGTTTCCAAGTTGTTGTAAAGATTTGCAGACTAATGGAGTGGAGCAGCAGTTTATGCCTTTAGAGAACATATGTAATAGGTTGAAAATGAAAATAAAAATAAAGCGAAGTAGAAGTGAAATTCAAAATAATATTAGTGACCAGTAAATAATAATCGAGTACATTCAATCACTGCTAATTTGCTAAGAGAAAATTGAGGTCTCTTAGTCCAAGATTTTGTAAAACAATAACTTTCAAATCGTGTTGCATAATTCCTATTTTTCGATTAGCTTCATTTTTCGGGAAACTTCAAAAATGTCTCATTGGTCCTACCTGGATTTTTCGATTCCATTTCTCTCGACTCTTATTTGCCAAGGTGTAAAACTACCATCTATGTACCGCTAACAAAGGATCCCAAGAATCCTAAGGTTGGAATTTGTTGCTCAAATATTCTTTTTCTTACAGCTTTAAAAAACAGGTGAGTATTCAGGTAGCATTCCATGTATTTACCACATGTACAAGCAAATGATAGCTTGTAGTGCTTTCACCCAGAATTTCTAGTTTTGATGTAGTAAAATGTAAAACTCTAGTTTTTGGCCTATCAAAATTTTTTTGTGACAAAAAAATCGAAAATGCTGTCTGATACCTACCCGACATCCATTAGACATGTAGCAGAATCAGTTAAACGTCAAAGATAAGTGTCTAGAATATCCGGTATTCTTCTTTGAACATGGACTAGTCAAGTTTATCTAACTAGCGAAAAGACTTCTACAGATAAAACTCTGTACACGATTTGGGCGACTTTTTAGGCATTTTACAAAGTATTTGGGGAAGTTCTAAATAGAATGTTGTACACAAAATTTTGGAGTTTGCCATATAATTTGAGCGGTAGAAATGTTACTTTGTGGTTTCTTAATATTTATGAGCTTTTTCTATTTCCGCGATCTCGGAAGTCTTATTAAGTTGAAAGGGGTATATTAAACAGTAAAAGCTGCAGAAAAATTGGTACCAGGCAGGATACTGTAGATAACGAGGAGATTTGACAACCTGTCTCTCGTAAAGGTCCAAAAGATATTTCAATGAGTCATAATTCATCATTGAATAGTTCAAAGCAGGAATTTTGTGAATTTGAGTGGGGGGGGGGGGACGCATTTTTATACCAAAAAATTGTTTGTGACTTATGCTCAAACTCAAGGTGATGTTATGAACCACTCATCATCCACGATCCTCGTGACCTTTGTTTGACATAAATGAGGAAAAGAAGAAAGAATTGTGTGGATTTTAAACACAAGCGACAAAATTGAGCAAACATGACCTATAATTAGTCGAGAAGAGTTCGAAATTACGATTTGCTCGGGAACACTTGAAACTTCTGAGCTTTATTGTTGGTCCTTTTCCCGTTAATTGCGCAAAAAATATGTGATCCCTTAATTATCCAAGTATAAAAAAAACCTATAGAATAATATTTGAAAGAGTGAAAGAGTAGTTGCCTTGAAGGTGATAGTCAGCATAAACTGGATAATGGAACGACAACAAGCAAAGTGAAGGTTAATTACAGTTTTACTGAAGGTTTACAACAGTTGGATAGCTGTAAACAATTTGATCACACTCGTGCTTGAAGACCGAACTAGATCCCTCTTCAGGAAAAGAAAAGGTTTGAACAGTGAGCAATCACAAAAAATTTTTAAGAGAAACCAGAAGGATGAACCAATTTCTCAGGCGATAAGAAGACAGCTGGATCCATCATGGCAATTGTTTCTCTAATTGTGCAAGTGCCTTTGTTTAGGCAAGGATGCTATTATAAACTGACTTCGGAAAAAACACTTGCAAAACATTTATGCCAAGTTAAGTTTATGCAGAACTGAGGCCGGGCATACTTTACGCGATTTGGCAATTCGCCAAAAGTCTTCAGATCCACCATTAGAAACTACACATGCATGGTCTGTATAACTTATGTACGTGGATTGATAAAATGCCCTATCTTCTGCACATTTAAAATGTACTAACAGCAGTGAATTATGGACAGTTGGAATGTTGCCAAATCGCGTCGCGACTGAAATCGCGTGAAGTATACCGGGCCCTTTAGAGGGGAAGGAAGTTCAAAAGAGAAGCCTAGAGAAAGATGCGTAAGTGAGTAACTGCTCTGACAGATATGTATGACTGAAGGATTGAGGGTTTTTTGCGAAGGGGGGGGGGGGAAGGGAGAGGCGACATCTGCAAAAAATTATTTGCGATACTCGAGATTTGGGCAGACCCATGCCCCAATTTTCAAGAAGAAGGGTGGCGCCTTTCAAACCTCTGAAAATTTTTTTGATTTAACTAGTTTGGATTTTGAAAATCTAGAAAACGCTTTTGGCTAAATGTAGAAGCGATCCATATGTACAAATTTGAATCGTACAGAATTGAAAGAGTTGTCAGTTTAAGATTTGAGTTCAAAAACAGAGTTCAAAAACTAGAGAAAAATAAAAAGTAGAGTTTAAAAAATAATAAAAATAATAAAAACAAAAATCATAATAATAATGATAATAATAAAAAGCGAAAAATTTTGCGATCTAAGTTCCCCTCCCACTCGGTCAGCAGTTTTTGTAAGGGATAATAGGAATATCAAGAATGGATGAATCACTATCTACCTAAAGAATTTTGAACCGCTACTTTCCCCCTCCCCTCTCCCATCCTTCTTTCTTCCCCTTTATTTCTTTGAACTTTTCTTTGAACTAGAAAACTTGAGTCCGAACTAAATAAATTAGAGCCTATGAACAAATGACGACATCCGCAGACCAAATGGAAAAATGTGGCCTGCTGCATTAGCGTCCCGAAAAAGCACATAAAAACCAGGCCGAGCTCAAAAAACCAAATCCAATGCAGCGGGGGAGAGATAGATGCTCACGGCAACAGTCAATATTGGTCGGATTAACCGGCTTAACGAGGCGGGAGCCACTAAAAACCATACAAATAAACAAAAAGCCAGCATTATGAGCAGTAAATACACTATAGTGTTTGTCGTAAATTAGGCTATTGAATAGGGTTGTGGGGGTTGTACTATAGGGAAAAAAGGTGGTAACATATGTGGTCAAAATTCGTGAAAGATTTCCAGACGACTAACCCGAACTTCTGCTCAACGTTTGGGAAAGTTCCGCCGAGCCACCTGAGGAAGTTCTTTGGCGTGCTGTGGAAGTTCCGAACAATGCGAACCACAACAACAAAAGAGAACACCGAAGCGAGATTTGAACCTTACTCTATTTAATGGCATGTCAAAAGCTGCTGAACCGCTGGCATTTTGCGGAAGTTCCGCAGCGCTTTGCAAAAATTCCTGCGGAAGTTCCCGTTTCCAACCAGTTTGACATGATTTTGCGGAAGTTCCTATTTTCAACGTTTCCACTAAAGCAATAGTAAACAATAGCAAAAACAAACAAAACCCTGCGGAACCGCTGCAAATTTCGCTTGTGCTGCGGAAGTTCCGGTGAACTGCCTGAGATTGAAATCAAATGCAGAAAGCTCATAAAAAAGCTGTTTGTTCATGTAAATTTATCAATGTTAATTAGGGCGCAAAAATGGCATAAACAAACTCTGTTTATTTCTTGATTCTAATTCTTTTGGTTCTCAGCCAACGTCACGGTAGCCCTTAAGAGATAGATAACTTACCAGTTAAACGAAATCTATAGGTGGGTATTTGATTACATTACATTCGACACTGTTTACCGAAAATTTTGAAAGGTTGCGTTGGAGTCATATGTCTAGAACGTTCGAATGAAAAATTTTTCTAAATATTTTTGTAAGCAGAAACTTGGTGAAAGTCAAAGAATCTGAGCACTTGCTCTTTTGAAAGCAAATCAAGGAGTTCCAATTAAACCGTTGCCCAAGGGCTAGCCCCTAGCAACCTTCGTGACCCAGAAATTGAACTTTGATTTCTCAATCAAGTACAGTATTCTTTCGGGCCGACCAAACAGCGTTTTACGGGGCAAAAGCCTGTAGCTGAACATTTTGGTTACGAATGATTAGGTCGTCCCGATAGTTTTGTCGGTTTTTTCAAACCACTATAAAACCACGCACAATAAACACCTGAATGAGTTTCAACATGCATTCGATGCAGCTTTTTCTTCTCTTTCTTAAGGATACATTCGCGAGCCACAATTTTGTATGCTTTTTTCGATATTTGTTAAGATTCTCCATCCGCCAATTTCATCTGCTCAGAGTTCGGCTAATTTTTAAAAATTCCGTTCTAATGTTTTTAAAATGTTTAAGTATGATTCTAATAGAGCAATTCTCGGACTACAAAAATATATTTTTAAATTCTTCGAATCTGCTGCTTTTAGCTTGAAATTATTTCTTAAGAAGTCTCGATTTCTGGCAATGTCATGAAACACGCAACTGCAGCAAATACACAGAAGTTTTCGGAGTTTCTGCTAATTGAAAGATAATTCTTATTAAACATTATTTATGCAACATGACCAAGTTTGATTAGCCTTGAGAAAGCAGCTTTTTGGAATTTTCGGTACTTTTACGTGGTAAACGTAGTCAAAAAGTCGCTGTTTTTATTGAATAATTAATTATAACGGAATTAGCAAACGTGGCCCATATAACTTAAAAAGAATGTAGCCAAAGGTTTGCTCTACATGA